ACCGTCCAGAGCCATTGGGAGCAGTAAGTGAGAGGCTGCAGGTGCGGCGGGGATGCCAGGGGCAGGGGCAGGGGACAGGCCCCTCGCCCCCTCCCCGTGCAGCGTGGACACTCGGAGTCACGTCCATCGTTGGCCAGCTGTGAAAGGGAGGTCGAGGGCAACACTTCGTGTTACGGAGGTGCCCACGGGAGAAGTCGGAGAATCCGGCAGCTTCTGGCAGCCGGGAGGACCGGGGGTGGAGGGGGGTGGGAGGCAGTGCTGGCGAGTGGGCCGGAAGCAGGGAGTGGCGAGAGCTGAGAAATGTGGACATGAAGGCGGAAGGAGGCTGATACTCAGCAGGTTTTTATTGAGCATCTTCTACGTGTCACGGGGCTGCACTGGCAGTTGACTCGGGAAGAATTTAAAAAGTGGTTTTGGGACTTGTTAAAGGGGCCAGAGCCTATTTAATCCCCTCCAATGTTTTTTTTTTAACTTGTTTTTTTTTTCTAAGATTACTTATTTGTTTGTGTTAGAGAGACAGGAAGTGGAGGAAGAGAGGGAGAGAAACATCAATGCATGAGAGATACATCACTTGGTTGCCTCTCATGTGGCCCCCGGGCCCACAACCCAACCCTGTGCCCTGACTGGGGATCGAACCAGCGACCCTTTGGTTCACAGGCCCACACCCAACCCACTGAGCCGCACCAGCCAGGGCCCTGTCATGGTTTTTGACGTTAGCATTCTACCTTCCACATCTGCTGCTTTTATGATTGAACGGAGACAACATACACTGGGCCCGAAGTCCTCAGCACACGGCCAGCCACGGCTGGCCCGCCCTGCTCCTGGGCCTGCCCCCGCCCCCAGAACAGGATCGAGGGGGGCTCCTGGCTGTGCGGGCGCAGCAGGCACCCGGGAGCCTCACACCAGGCCCCTGGGTCACCTCTGCGCGTCCTCAGGGGTGTCCGTGGGTGACCGGTGGCAAGCGGTCCTGCCTGTGACCCGGAAGCACAGCCGTGACCACGTCCTGCTGTTCAACGACGCGCACTTCCTGATGGCATCGCTGGGCGCTCGGGACGCCCAGACCACGCAGGAGCTGCTGGCCACGCTGCAGGACGTCAGCGAGTATGCCGAGGGGCCCGGGTTCCGGAAGCTTCTGCTGCCCGGGGAGGCGGGAGGTGGGCCCCTCGGGGGAGCCCAGGCGTGTGCCCACAGGTGTGCCCCCGCGTGAGCGCACCCTGCAGGGGGGCCGAGGTTCCCCCAGCCACAGAGGTGCCTGTCCATCCCCTGGGGGGGGCGTGGCAGCCTTCACGTCCCACAGGGAGCCTCCCTCAGGGGAAGCGGTGGGGCCCCAGAACCAGAGACCTGCTGCTGAGGAGACCTGGGGTCTCGAAGAGCACTTATCCGCCCCGGGCCTCGGCTTCCTCGCGTGCAAACCGGGGACAGGGCTGGCTGAGGCGGGCTGGTCCGACGGCGACCCCCCTCGTGGGCGGGGCCTCGGCAGTGGGGGTGGCCCTCGCCTGTCACAGCAGCAGCCGGAGGGCGCCAGGGGAGGCATCCTCACCTGCACCCCTCGTCTCCCCCCCGGAGGCTGCATCCCCGTGGTGTGCTGAGGCCTGGCGGAGGGTGACCGCTGTCACAGCCAGAGCGGGCCACCACCACGGCAGCTTGTCCTGCCCTCCTCCCGGCAAGGCGTCTGGTGCTGGGGAGCTGTGACTTCACCACAGGGAAGGCCCAGGGGTTCCAAGACTCCCCGAGGGTTTGATTCTTGCTTGTAAGAGGGGCTCGGAGCGGGCCCCCCGGTGCCATGACCCATGGCAGGGGGCACGCACGAGCCCATGGGAGACACTCATGCCCAGCGTGGGTGCCTGGCCTTTGCCGGCCCCGCCTGCAGCCCTCTGACAGCCGCGGGCTCAGCCGCTCCTGACGCTGTACAGGTGGGCAAGCCGAGGCCCAGGACCAGGCCCCCAGGACGCTGGAGCTGCACCCCGTGGACTGAGTTCAGAGCCCTGTTCTCTGCCCCTGGGTTGCCCCTCCCCCGTCAGCTCACCGCAAGTCAGCGCCCCGGCCGCGTGGCGGGCACAGGCCCGGGGGGGGGGGGGGGCCCTAGCCAAGCGGGCGGGAGCCGGCCGCTGAGGCACTCTCTCGGGCGTCAGGTCCCCCGGGGAGAACTGCCAGCACCTCCTGGCCCGCGACGTGGGGCTGCCCCTGTGCCGGGCGCTGGTGGAGGCCGAGAACGGGAACCCCGACCGCGTGGTGGAGCTTCTCCTGCCCATCCGCTACCGCGTCGTCCAGATCGGGGGCAGCAACGCCCAGGTGAGCCGCCCGCCTCCAGCCGCGCCGCGCCGGCTGCTGGGGCGCCCGGCCCCGTCTCCCCGAGGGGGCGTGCCCACGGGGTGTGGTCGGTGTCCTTGTCTTCCTGCCCCCGGCCACTTTGTCCCCCAGAACAGGCGGCCCGCAGTGGGGTGGGGGGGGCGGTCCGGTCCCTGGCCCCACGTCACGGGAGCCTGCCCCGCCTGCCCCGTGGCCTGCAGAGGGACGTCTTCAACCAGCTGCTCATCCACGCGGCCCTGAAGTGCGGCGCCGGCGCCCACAGGAACCTGGCCCGGTGAGCCCCCGCCCACGCCTCCGGGGAGGTTTCTGGTCCCAGCTCCGTGTCTCACTGGGGGGGGGGTGCCTCCCTGTGGGCGGTGAGCGGTGCCCACCCCACTGGGTCTGGTCGGCCGTGGTCGCGGCTCTTCGCACCGCCCCCCCACCCCCGGTGGTGCCAGTGCTTTCTTTAAACCTGGGGGTTCTCCCGCCCTCTCCTCTGCCGCTCACTGTTCCCGGCACAGCCTCAGCCGTGGCTCCCCGCCCCAGTGTGCTCTCGTCCCCAAGCTCCCCAGTGGCCGAGGCCGCGGTGACACGCTCGCCCTGGAATTCCGGTCCCCGGAGGCATCCTGGGGACGGTGTAAAACTGCTCCCCAAGCACTGATGCCCCCACCCCCCGCCAGCACCGGTGTGAGCATGCCGGGCTCGCGTCCGCATGCCTTCCCCTGCTTTCTCTCCGGTCCTCTCTGGAGGCAAGGCCCCCTGCCTCTGGCCGCGGCCCAGCCTGTCCCCTCTGCCGTGAGGCCGTCCCCTGTCCAGACACCCGGGAAAGGGAGTGTCCCAGTCTCTGACCACCTCAGCCCGGCCCCCGCTGCTGAGCCCCCCGGGCCCCACAGCCTTCCGGGAGGGTCAGCACGGCCTCCCCGCGTGTCTCCGCAGGAGCCTGCTGATGGAGCGGGACGCGCTGAAGCCCAGCTCGCCCCTGACCGCGCGGCTCATGCGCAAGGCGGCCTCCGTCCACCTCCTGCAGTGAGCAGGGCCGGCCGGCCGCCCTGCCGGCGGGTGCACTGCCCCACCGGCTCCTGAGGCTCAGGGGACGAGCCTGCTAAGGGTGACCTGGGGCCTTGAGCAACCCAGGAAGGGGGGTGCAAATCTGTGTACTTGTGATCCAGACTCTTCCTCTAACTCTCACTAAGGCCCGAGGGCCAGTGTTGCGCGGCCGGCCGGACCCAACGTGGGCGCTGCTCCCCGGGCTGGCCCTGCGCACTGGCGTCCTCCCCGTCTCTCCCGGGGACCCTCGCACCTCCTGGCTGTTCGAGTGTGGGCAGCAAGGGTGGGGTGGGGGCGGCTCAGCTCGGGAAGGGTCTCCACGGCCCCGAGGGGCAGCCCCCACTCCAGGCTGCCTTTGGGGAAAACCCTCATTGTCTTCACGTCCTGGGTTCGGTTGTCCGTTTCGTGCAGGAGGGAGCCCGTGGCGGGCAGTGCCTTGCCCAGGTCACTGCGGAGACTCACCACAGGCCCACCCGTCCTCCCTGAGAGGGGGCCCGTACCAGCCTGTGGCCTCAGCCCAGCGGCCATGCCCGTGCGCCCCGCACGGAAGCACAGGCCCGCGGGTGCCCTCCTGCTGCCTCTGCAGAGCAGCCTGGGAGCTCTCCCAGGGGCCCTGGGTGACAGCGACTAGGGCTCGTCTCCTCTTTATTCTAAACTGCCCATCAGGGAGGGGCCTCCGTACTTGGCTTCCTTTGCCGACTGTGACTTCCTTCAGTCTTGCGGACCCAGGGTGCCGGGCGGGCATGCTTCCCGGGGTGCTCGGGTCGAGCTCGGGCTGCCCTGTGGCGGCAGAAGTCAAAGCACCGTAACACGCGGCGGTGGCAGCAAGCCCGGAGCCGGTCCTGCAAGCACGCTCGGCCCCTGCTGCACCCCAAACCTGCCCCAGGTCCCTCCTGAGCGGGCGCAGGTTTCCGTTTAAGGCGCCGACTCAGGTGCGCCGCGTGACGCCGGAAACCCCAGCCCGGGGAGGGCTCTCGGGCTGTGTGGGTGCGGACTGAAGTCGGGGAGGGCTCCGAATGGATCAGCAAATTCCTGGGATTCAAGTAATTTAGCGTCCCCGGCCAGGTCGCTCAGTTGGTTAGAGTGTTGTCCCGATACGCCAAGGTTGCGGGTTCGATCCCTGGTCAGGACACGTGCGCGAATCAGCCAATGAATGCCTGAATGAGTGGAACAACAGATCAATGCTTCTCTTTCTCTCGAATCAGTAACAAATAAAATAGTTAATTGGTTTATTTGGCTGGCTCTTTCTGGGCGTCTCCCAGGGGCCAGGCCTGGGCTGGGTCCTGGAGAGACAGGCTTCTCCTTGAACTTGGGGTGTGGTGGATTGGGGTGTGGAGTCAAGAAGATGGGTAGTTACATTAGGATTTTGAGAGAGGGGCAGTCTCTCCCCAGGAATGAGGGATTCATCCTCAGGGGGGAGCCTGTCCTTCACCCCGCGCTGTCCCCCCTGCCGCTTCCCTGGACAGCCGCTCACACCCCACCTGCCCTCCCCTCTCCAGGCTCCAAGCAAGACACAACTTGGCCGGGGGAGCAGGAGCCCTGGCCCGTCCTCTGCAGAGCACCCCCCCCCCCGCCCCACTGCAGGCTGGTGAGGGCACCTCCGCAGCCCCGGGCACCTGCGCTGGTTACCGTCCCTTCCTCCCCAGCTGTCACCTCCTTGGGTCAAGACCAGTGTCACCCAACACGTGGCCTGTTGGTTGAAATCATCAGTGAATGCATAAGGGAATGAAGCAGAATCCTACCCGGTGGGGGAGGAAGAAAAGAACCCATCACAAAAGAGAGGGTGAGGCTTAAGAGGCGGATGGAGGGAAGATGGAGGGAGTTGAGAGTTTGCGGCAACAAGTGATTAACCACTGGCGCTGTTCGCTGAGCACCTACTATGGGCTGGCCGGATGCAGGCAGAGGGGCATCGGGAATGGGTGTTGGGGACCCTCACCCCCTGCAGGGGAGTGGGGATCTGACACCTGAGCCAAGACCCCCCAAGTCGAAGACCCTCTGTGCGGCTGCCACACGCAGCTGCCCTGTGGTCACGAGTCGGGCCAGGCTGCCTGGGGACCGTGGATGAGACCCGGCGGCACCGAGCCAGCCGCTGCCTCCCGCCGGCGGAGGGAAGCCTGGAGCTCCTGGGCCGGCGGGCCTGAGAAAGCGGCGTACCTGAGGGTGATGGACCCCAGAGGGGCGGCTGGGACGTGGCCCCACCCAGCACCCTCCTTTGAGCCCCTCTCTCTATCCAGGGCCCCTCCAGGGCTCCCCTGTTTCTCGAGCCAATGAACTCTCCTCTTTCTAAAGCCAGCGTGAAGCTGGTGTTCCGGTTCCGGCACCCAGAGGCTGTGGGCGGGCACTCGCAGCCGGGGCCTGCGCCTGGGTCTGCCTGGCACCCTCTCTCTCTGGCGAAGCAGGGTCTTGAGCCCAAGATGAAGGGACGCAGAAAGGAGCCCGGGATCAGAGGCTCGGGTGGGAATCCCAGGGTCCGGGGCCCAGCGCCTGGGAGCGCAGTGGGCGTGGAGAGGGAGGCTGCAGAGGGGGCCCCCAGGTAGGAAAGAGGTGTGTGTGGGGGGGGGTCGCCAGGACAAACCAAAGGGACTGCAGAGTCCCTTTGCAGAGTCCCTGCAGAGTGCAGGTCGGACTCCTGTCCAGCTGCTATCCGCCCCTCCCCCTGCCCCGGGGCCATCTTGCCCAGTCCTCGCTCGGCTCCTGCCCAGTGCCCCGAGCTGGGCTGGTGAGGCTGGGGGACAGCGGTGACCGGAGCCCACCCTGCTGCCCTGTGGGGGCTCAGAGTCTGTTGAGGAGCCAGACTGGGGGTCCGAAGTGGCACAGGACCAGGGCAACACAGAGTGAGGGTTGTGGTTGTTGTGACACCAGGGACAGGGGAGGCCAGAGGTGGCCCAGCCATCCTGGAGGGCTTCTTGGTGGAGGTCCTGGACACGGGACGAATGCCCCCCCAACAGGTCTCCACCCAGACTGCCCAGATAGATGGCCCCACGTCATCCCTGCACATGGTGCTGTGCTCTCCCCCCAGAATCCCACCTTTCCTGCCGCAGACCCCGTGGGAGGTCCCAGGCTCCCCCCTCCCGCCCTCTCCTCCTTTCAGTCCTGCTAGAAATGCCGGAGAAATAGAGGCGGGAGGAACCGGGTGATCTGATCCGACTGCCTTTATTGGATGCTGCGATTGCAGGCTGGCTGAGTCGGATGGACGGCAGCCCCCCGGGGAGGCAGGAAAGGGGTTTGTGAGAGGATAGGGGTGGGGTGAGTCTCTTGTTCTTCCAGGTAGGTGCCTCAGGATGGGAGTCAGGACAATGGGTCAGGTAAAGGGCCGGACCGTTCCCAGGGACAGGAGGGTCAGTCTGACCACCGGCCCTTGTAGCTGGCGCCAGATGTCTACTGTGCGAGATGGGAGGGTTTCTTTTTGTTTTTTTTTAGATTTTATTTATTTTTAGAGAAGGGGAGGGAGGGAAGGAGTGGGGGAGAGAGAGAGAGAGAGAGAGAGAGAGAGAGAGAGAGAGAGAGAGACATCAATGTGCAGTTGCTGGGGGCCGTGGCCTGCAACCCAGGCATGTGCCCTGACTGGGAATCGAACCTGCGATGCTTTGGTTCACAGCCCGCGCTCCATCCACTGAGCTACGCCAGCCAGGGCGGGAAAGTTTCGATTATGCCACAGGCTGTCAGGCGACTGGGGACAGCTGAGTCATGGGCAGTCCCTGGGGTTGGAAACTGGCCTGACCCTTTCCAGTCCCCATCAAGTGGAGCAACAGCTTTGTGACACAGAGCCCTGGGTGGAGCCCCTCATTCCACCGCAAGCCCATCAGGTGGGCATTACTAACACCTGGCTCACAGTCCAGGGCTCCAATTGGTTCTACCCAGTTGGCCCCGCCACCAATCCTCCTCCCGCCTCTCAGATCACGGGTCTCCTATCTGCTCCAACCTGGCCACCGGACCCTGCCTTGAGATGCACCCCTGCAATCCGCACCCCACCGCCCCAAACAGATCCAGCTCCCCAGTGCTCTATAAAGCCCTGGGCAGGTTCCGGCCGCACTCTGTGGCCGTGCTGAGGCCCTCATCAACGGCCAGGCAGCTTCTCCTGGTCCAGGGGCACAAACCGGCGTCGTCTGGTTAGAGTGCCTCCGGGGCGTCCCCCTGAGCAGGGACCTCGCTTCTTAATTGACCTATTAGGACCTGCCACGTACTGCTTTGAAAAGCAGGTAGACGCGCCTGTTTCATCTGGTCTTCCCAAGAACGCCCGACGATTGGAGTTTAATTTTCTCCATTTACGGATGAAGAACGGAGATCAGAACAGTTTCGCTGGTCACACGTAGCCGTCGCGAGGCTACAACTGCAGGTACAGACAGGGGAGCTGTGTGAAACCCCCGCCCCTAGGGTGCGCGGACCTCGGGCATGCGCAGCCCCCCGGCGTGCGGAGGCAGTGCGCACGCGCGGACGCGCCTCCTCTGAGACGCTCGGACTACAGCCCCCAGGATGCACCGCGCAAGGCGACCTCGCAGAGACCTTTTCAAACCGGCCAATAGCAGCCCGCGCCGCGCTCGCCGCTCCGAGTTTAAATCTAGGGCGGAGGCGTGTCGGCCGGGAGCAGCTGCGGGTACGGAGCAGGGACCTCTGGGGGTTTGGCCGGGGGCGGCGGGGTCCCCTCGCGTGTTCCGAGCCCACAGCAGCCCGGCCGACAGCTGGGAATTCCGTTGCCGCCGTCCGGGGCGTTCCGCCCTGGCTCGGACCAGCGCCGCTCCGGAGCTTGCGATCTGCAGGCGCGTGGCCCCGGGGGGTGCGTCGTATCCCTGTTGGTGCTGCTGCGGTTCACGCTGCTGGGCGTCCCCGGAGTTCAGGAACCGGGGGACCTGGGCTCTGACCCCAGCTCACCTCCGGTCCCTCCTTCCCGCAGGGACTCCGAGAGCGCTGGGCATGGAAGGCGGAGACAGCAGCGACGTGCCTCCAGCCCACCGGGCGGGCGAAGCGGAGGTGGAGGGTCCCAGGAAGGATGGTAGGTCCCCGTCACTGCAGCGCTGTTGCTCAGGGAGCCCAGTGAAGATGTCGGTCCATTTCATCCTTCCGTGAGCACGTACCTGTGTATTCCGTGCTCATCCTGTGCTCCGCGCCCATGGAACTCACGGTTTGCACGCGTCTGTCTGCAAGGAGTTTGCCTGCGTCCGCCTCCTTTATCGTTAGCTTTTCTCTACCCGCCTGGATGCCCAGTTTCACGTTCCGTCCCAAAAGGGATTCTCTTTTGGGAAATAAAGCGCCCCACCCAGAGCGCTTTTATTTGCTGCCCTGATCCCAGGGCCCAGACCACCACCTGGCTCTTCACTCAGATCATCTGGGGAATGGAACCTGACGTTTTCCTCCTGTTTGTGGCTGCTTTCCGTTTACCAGCGCTGGTTTAGGGTCCTCGCCACCGCCTCAGTGAGGGAGGCTGGCTGTCACTTGGCCGTCTCGTTCTGTCCGGGTCAGGTGTGAGTGTCCGGTCGCCAGTACAGCCTCCCGGGAAGGATGAGGGGCGGTGCCCTTTTTCTGTTAGAGCATGTTGACATCCTTTCAGCCTTTGTTCCTCGACACCCGCGCGAGGCGGGTGCACTGGGTATCCAGGCGTCCTTAACACCTTCGTTTTGCTCATCTCTCTGTGTTCTTTATCCAGCCTCCCGTGGCGTGGTTAGGTATTTCCCTGGTGCTTTGTAGACACCATTCGTGAGTCAGTCCTCCGTGGGGTGAGCTGCAGGTCTGCTGGTCCCTGTTCACTGTTTCTTTTGACTTCGCTCAGGGCGATTTTTGCCAGACAGAGATCAAAAACGGTGTTGTATATTGGACCATCAACCTTTCCTTTTATGGCCTCAGGCCTGGTGTCCTAGACCTCCACCCTCCAGCTTATAAAATAGTTTCCCCATGGTTTATGGTTCTTTTAGGATTTAAGAAAATATATTTTATTTTTAAAGATTTTATTCATTTATTTTTAGAGAGGGTGAAGGGAGAGAGAAACAGGGAGAGAAACACTGATGTGTGGTTGCCTCTTGTGTGCCCCCTACTGGGGACCTGGCCCACAACCCAGGCATGTGCCCTCACTGGGAATTGAACCGGTAACCCTTTGGTTCGCAGGCTGGCACTCAATCCACTGAGCCACGCCAGCCAGGGCTAGGGTTTTTTTTTGTTTGTTTTTTTTTTAGTTATGTCAGATACTGGATTTGTTTTTGAAAGAGGATATTTTGTAGTTTGTAAGCAGGGACCTTATCTCTCGGGGAGCCAAGGCAGGCGGCCTTCGGAAAGGGTGCGTCCCCGAGAATGACTGAGCGGGTCTCGAGTAGCCGCTCGGATGACAGGAATGACGGGGCGAGTGAGTTTTAGATCACGTCTGTGAGAGAAGCACTCGGGTGTTCAGGAGAGCGCAGCCAACCTGGAAGGGCTGGTGCTATTTTTTTTAAAGATGTTATTTATTTATTTTTAGAGAGGGAAGGGAGGGAGAGGGAGAGAAAGAGAGAGAGAAACATCAATGTGCGGTTGCTGGGGGCCGTGGCCTGCAACCCAGGCATGTACCCTGACTGGGAATCGAACCTGCGACACTTTGGTTCGCAGCCCACGCTCAATCCACTGAGCTACGCCAGCCAGGGCAGCTGGCGCTATTTTAAAAAGAGACTGGAAAACGTAAGATTGTCCGGAGCCCCCGTGGAAATGCGGCTGCTGAGTAACGGGAAGTCGCTCTTCGGGGAGTGAGACTCCCCAGCGGTCTGGGTGGGGACCGGCAGCAGGTCCCGCGTGTCGGCCTGGCCCTAGAGTGACGGCAGACTCTCTCCCCTAGACAGTGTCCTCCTTCTGGCCGACGAAAGCTTCGACTTCGACCTCTCCTTGTCTTCTCTCAGGTAAACGAACCTGTCTTCTTCCCTTGCCGTGGGCGTGACCACATTCAGTGAGACCCTCCACTTCGACGCCGGGGTCACTAACGGTCCTCTCCCTTTAACGCAGTGCCAATGAGGACGACGAGGTCTTCTTCGGACCCGTCGGGCACAGAGAGCGGTGCATCGCTGCCCGGCTGAAAGGAGACACCCCGAGTCCCGAAGCCGGCCGCGTCCGCTGGAGCCCCCTCACCGGGGAGAAGTTCGTGGAGGTGTACAAAGAGGCCCACCTCCTGGCCTTCCAGATCGAGAGCAGCAGCAGGAGCCAGGCGGCCCACGCTGCGCGGCCCGAGGGCGGCGAGAGGTTCATCCAGGACTCCAGGTTGAAGATCAGCCTGTTCGAGAAAGAAAATGAAAGCAGGAAAAGCCCCGGCTCACTTAAGAGGGAGACGTACTGCCTGTTGGAAGGCCCCTTGAGCGGGCCGCAGCTGTCGGGCGTGCAGCCCGCCTCGGGTGTGGGTCCCCGGAGCACCGCGGCCCAGGCCCAGCTCACCCGGACGTGGGGGCCCTCGCCCCCTCCCCGTCCCTCTCTGCCCCTGGACCCCAGTCCCGTCCGCCCTCCGAGCCAGGCGGCGACTCAGAAGAGGGTCGTCAGCAGACTGCCGCCGCCCCGAGCGTCTGTCAGAGGGAAGAACACGCACTTGGCTGTGGAGAAGGTAGCCACAGCCACGCGGCAGCTGCTGGTCTGGGAACGGGAGGGGTCCCTGGCTTGTCAGTCTTCGAGGGTCCACCCTGCAGCGGGGACCTTACTGGGCGGGGGGGATGTGGAGGCATGGCCGCCACTTGGGGGGCTCGTGGTGGTGGTGGGGGCAGGTCTGGGGTGGATGTGGGCCGTGCCTCCTTCCAAGTTCTGGTTGAAATCGTTCCTTTGATTTTGTCACAAGACTGTGCAGTGGGGGTTGCGTTTGCATTACCAACCAACTTCCCAAAATTGTCCCTCCTGGAGTAGCCACTTGTCGTCCTCCTCAACGGGGACGAAGTTTAGGTGCTTTCCTGCAGGCAGCAAGCAAGGAGCTGGCCCGGGAAGTGGCAGCGGGCAGGTGTCCCTCCAGGACACGTCAGCCATCTCCGGGGAGCTGGGGTCCTAGGGGCTGGAGGGGAGTGCACAGGGGAGCGGGAGTGGGGGTAAGGTGCAGGCTGCTTCCAGGTGTAGTCTGGCTGTGCGCCCAGGGCGGGCAGGGAGCGAGGGAGGGAGGGAGGCCGCTCATACTCTGCAGGAGCTGGCTGCGGCCTGCCCTGCGCCTTTCCCCGCGCCGCCCCACTGTGAGCCCGTCCCGTCCGTCCCAGAGCGGTGACTCTCGGTGGGGCTGCTAGCAGTTGAGGTCAATGCAGACGCCCGGCCAGGGCCTAGACGGCCCTTTTCCCTCCACAAAAAGCCCTGAACCACATGCCCCATCACCAGGACCCAGAACCGAGCCGCCAAAGGCACCCCAGCCTGCAGTGCAGGCAGAGCCTGCGGAGCCGGGGCCCAGCACGGACCGGGAGGCGGGCCAGGCGGGCCAGCCCTCCCTCACGTGGAGACCGTTTGCATGCGCATCTCTGAGCTGACGTTTCTAGAGTAAGGTTGACGTGCGTCTTGTGCAGAGTTGACTCAGGGCAGGGAGATTGCCTTGTAACGTGGGCTCTTCCGGGGCCTCTGTCCCCTCCTAGCAGTGACCCGGTGCCGGAGAGCAGGGGGTTTGGCCAGCGAGGTGCCGGCGCTGCCGCTGAGCTGCACGTGGAGCTCAGCCGGCGTGGGCAGCCGGCGTGTGTCCGTACGCGGTGCGAACCAGACGGCTCTCACACCCCGACTTAACATTTTCAGTCCGTGAAGGAGACACCAGCAAGTCCTTCCGGGGCGAAAACCCTGGCCGAGAAGGAGTCCCAGGGGGACAGGCCCCCGGACACGCCCAGCGCTGCCCAGGACGTCACCGGCGCGCCAGCCCGCGGAGGCCCCGGGGGCCCGGGCAAGCGAGCGCTCCCTGTGCCCAGCAAGGTGGGTCGGCTCGGCTGTCGCTGGGCAGTGCTTGTGCGTGAAGGGAGCGGGCCGGCGGCTCTGCCCCCCAGGGGTGTGACTCGGCACGGCAGTAGGGTCAGGGAGGCTGACGCCGAGACCCCGGGAGGCAGCGACCCCAGGAGGCAGCTCGGAGAAGCGAGAAGAATGGGCCCTGCACGCGCGGGGGGCCGGCCTCTGCCACGCGGGGTCACACGGGCAGTGCATCTGTGACGCGGGGGTGCTCCCTGCGGCCGGGCGATGGTGCGGGGTGGCCATTCTCGGAAACCTCAGCTCCTCCCGGGCCTGGGGACCAGCCGTCCACGTCTCTGCCGCCACTTTTCCGCGTTGGCAGCCAAGCTGCCGGACGCTGGGCCCTGGCACCCTCACTCAGCGAGCTCCCCAGGGAGATGATAGTCACGGAACTGTGAGAACGTGTTATAAAATCCTACTTTTGTGGGAATAAGTGTTGGCTCGATGATGGAGCTTTTGGTGACCGTTGGCGTCTCGTTTCAGGTGGGTCTGAAGAGAACCGCGCTGAAGCCCCCCGGCTGTGCGGCCGGTCTGGCGAGAAAGCCCGGTGCCCCGGGGGGCTTTTCGGGCGGGAGCTCCAGAGCGTGCCCGTCCCCCGTGGGGAGCACAGGTGAGCCCCCTCAGGAGGACCTGGGCGGCGGGTGGGGCTGCTGTCTGTCGCTGAGGAACGGGTGCTGTTGTGTTCCCTGGTGAAACGGGTGCCTCGGGGTGAAGCGGAACCCATCTCCAGCGCCGAGGGCCACCGGGTCAGCGGCAGTGGGACTGCTGAGCCAGTTCAGGGGTTGGGGGGGGACTCCCGGGGAGATGTGAGCGCGGTCCTGGCTGCACACCGGGCCGAGACTTTGGATCCGGCCCTTGTCAGAGCAGGTCGGTCCCCGTCCCAAGGACACACGGCGTCACCTCCCAGAGCCACACAGCCGGTGACACTGCTGATGGTCACCCCGGATGACGGGACCGTGGCCTGATGACCTCCCTGGGGCCGACGCCAAGGCCACTTGAGCAGAGGCTGGCCGGCCACATGAAAGGAAGAAACGAGGACTTTGAAAATCTAAAGAACGTGTTCTTTTAAAAAAAAGTTTATTGATTGGTTGGTTTTTCCAGAGAGAGGAAGAAAGAGATACCAGTTTGTTCCGCCCGTTCTCGTCTCACTGGCTGACTCCCGGGGGGGGGGCGCTGATTCCCCTGTGTGTGCCCCCCCCACCCCCCGGGGAATCAAACCCGCACCCTCGGCCTGTCGGGACGATGCTCCAACCGACTGAGCCACCCGGCCAGGGCAGGAAATGTTCTCTGTGAACCACCAGAGGGCGCCCCAGTTGCCTTCATGGAAAAGCGGGGAGTGTCCGAGGCCTCGGAGGGACCAGGGTGCCCCCTCCTGCCTCTCGGCGGCCGTCTGCAGGGGCCTCCGGAGCCCGCTGGGCCCAGCCTGTCCTGCGACGGAGGATGCCGCCCGGCGGACGCACAGAACGTTGTCCGTGGCGTCACGTGTTGCTCTCACCCCGAAGCTGCCCCGGCGGATGGCAGCGGTGCGCCCCACCAGCAAGCAGTGCGGGGGACACATGCGTGCTGCGGGGCGCACCTCTCACCGGTGCCGGTCAAAGTTCACACGTTGGGGGTCGTGCGAGCCTGAGCGGTAACCGCAGGCCTCCTGTGGCTCCTCTTCCAGGTGCATCGGGGGGACGTCGGAGCGTCTCTGCAGAAGGTTCCCGGCCTCCTTCGGACCCCCGCCAGCCAGGCCCAGGGGGGGCTGCCGCGGCCCCGCCGTCCCTGCAGGCCCGCCCTGCGGCCGTGTGCGGGCAGAGCTGGTGCCCCGGGCGGCCCGCGGCGCCCACGACGTCGGCTCCCCCCCAGCCCCAGACGCCCGAGGAGCCGCGAGGCGCGAGGCTGAGCTCCCAGACCCGTCTGCCCGGGTCTGCTCGGCGGAGTGCGGCCGGGGGCGCCAGGCGGGAGTCCTCTCTGCACTCCGGGACGAAGGCCGTGCCTGCCCCTGCGAGTCCCTTTAAAGTCCCTAAGTTTCCTGCCGGTGAGTAGGAGGCCACTGCGGTGGGTTTCAGAGGGGCGAACGGGCTCTAGGTGAAGTTGAGTGACGGCCCCTCGGCGGCCCCGCCCACGGAGCGCCTTAGCTCCGCCTCCGGCTGGCTCTGGAGGAGGGGGGCGGGGGGCGGGGCTCCTTGTCTCACGTGCCCGTCCGTGTGACACGGGCCTTGCCACCCCTGCCCCTTCGCTGCGCCTGGGGGCAGTGGAGACGGCACAGAGCCCCGGCGAGGGACGGCCCACCTGGTCCCCGTGGACCGACCGCTCGCTTCCTCTCTGGCCTCAGGTGGACCCCCAGACAGCGCGACGCCCCGGCTCTCTCGGGCACCGAGGCCGCAGTCCTGCACGTCGACGGGGAGGTAACGAGCTGCATGACCCCAGAGTCAAGCAAACGCTCCTGCTGACGCGCTTCCCGAGGGGGCCCTGCAGCCCGGCTGCGTGTGTCTGGCCCTCGCCCCCGTCTCTCGGGGCCACTTTTACAGCCACTGCAATTCCTATACGCGCAGACCCGCCCCCACGGTTGGGGGCCGGCCCCCAGCCCTGGCCTGGGGCGACCGTGGGCCAGGCGCCCAGCGGAGCGGTGCGCGTGCCCGTCCAGCCGGAGACGCTGACCAGCCGCTCTGGGTGCAGCGCTCGGGGGCGCAGGGCGGTGCGGGGCCCTGGCAGGCAGCGCGGCCTCACCGTCCAGCCCCTTCCCGGAGTGGTTCTCTGCGTCGGTCCTCGCTCAGGTCTGCTTCAGGCTCCGAAGGGCACAGCGACTCCTTGACCGGTGACAGGCTGTAGCCACGGCACCCCCAGACCTCCCCGGGTGTCCTTTCCTTAAGCACAGTAACCGACCTGACCGCACCTCGCTCCTTCGCCGGCAGCGAGGCGGGTCCCGACCGCGGAAGCCACGGCACCGCTGGGGCTGGGGGGTGGGCAGGGCTGCGTGGCGAGCAGGTGTTGGCCCACAGCCGGCTCCAGTGGCCTTGAGCCTGGGAGTGGGCGAACGGGCAGTGGCCCGGCGGGACCCCGCTGTGGGTCCGGGTGTCCTTGTGGGAAGGTCTGTGACAGCCGGTGACTTAGGTCTCTCCCGAACCTCCTGCGAAGTGTGTCCTCCGGGCAGCGCCAGGAAGGGCAGTCACGGCGAGGGGAACCTGTGAGGACAGAGGAGGGGCCGCGGGGAGGAGGGACTGGAGGCGCACGCCGGCCCGGGGGGCAGCCCTCTGCCGGGTGGGACCTCTTCATTGGGAACTGAGCCCCGCGCTGCGCGTGCGCACTGGCTGGACGACCTGGCGCGTCTGAGGTCACCTGTGCGTAAGAGCCCAACGTTGTCTCTCCAGGGCTGTCCACGGCACTCCGGCTCGGCGTGCCTCGGGGCCCGTCTCCCGGACCCCCGTGAGTGCGCCACGCGTGGCCGCCCTGCTCACACCCGCCGGCCGCCGGCTCTCAGGCCTTCCGGTGCCGACCCCGAGGACCCAGCCCAGGACCCTGGCTGCTCCCCAGCGTGGGTCTGCTCGGCGCCTCTCTTCCGAGCCCCGGAGAAGGTATGCAGGGAGGTGAGGTGACCGAGAGGCTGCCGCAGGTCCGTCTCAGGTCCGCGAGGCCTCCAGAGGCCGCTGTGCTGGGCAGGCGGCCCGCCTGTACGCGGCCGCTCCGCAGGGGCCAGGCTCACGCCTGCCGGGGAGACGCTCGCGGGGGAAACCAGGAGACAGCTCCTCGCGGTCTCGGCGCCCCTGCTGACCGGGAGCGCGCGGGGAGGTGTTCCGGAGCCGGCTGGGGGGAGTGCCCTTTACCAACGATCTTCAAAATCCAGTCCCATGTGCCTGTGCCCCAGGGATCCCGCCCCTGGTGTGAGACCCAGTCCAGACAGAGGTGCCAGCGGCCGCAGAGGGCTCTGGGGCAGGGGCTGGAGGGCCCCCACCCCAGGAAGGCCCGAGTCAGCACGGCTCCTGCTCCCTGGGGGCGTTTCCGTGGGAACCCTTGGGCGAGAGGATGCGGAAGAGGGTGCGGAACGGGGTCGCGTCTCCGTAAGACAGACAGCGGCTGAGAAAACCACGGGAGAGGCCCACAGCCCCCGCCGTGGGTGTGCCGCACCCCACGTGTGTTGATCTGCGTGCGTGCGTGCCTGCCTCTGCGCGGCGCCGCGAGAACGGAGGAGGCGGGGCCCGCACTGGCACCAGGAGACCCGGTCTGAGCGCCGTCACAATGCTCATGTGTGTTCGTAGATGGAGGAAGAAGCCCCTTCAGGTTGTGACAAAGTCTTTGAAACACTGAAGTGGAAATACAGTGTGTTAACTGCGGAAACGGCCGCTCTCCTTGGCTCCGTCGTGTGACTCAGTGTCCAGACGGCAGGGGTGTGCGGGCCCGCCCGGCGCAGCCTGCGTCCTGGGCCTGGAGACGGGCGGTGCGCGCTGCGCCCTCTAGCGGGAAACAGGCGCCGAAGGACGGTCTGCCTGGGAAGGGGGTGTCTTGGGAGGCCCAGATGTGGAGCGTGTGACCAGGGAGCCCACCTGCCGCCGAGGCTACAGCAGGGGGGCTGCCCCGCGGGCTTGCGGCGCTGGAGAGCGGTCCGGTCTAGGAATAGATGGACGGAGAAGCTGCTGGGCCGCACGGGGATAGGGGCGCGGACAGAGCCCACTCCCCGGGGGTCCCGCTCCTCGCCTCCTGTGCAGTAGCCCGAGCAAAGGGGACTGGAGTGGGTGCACAGTGAGAGCAGGTGGCCCGAATCTCGGAGCCGATCGGACCTCAGAAATCGTTCGGTCCTCCTGATGGAGCCGGAACCGGAGCCACGGTGCCGTCCACCGTGGTCCCTCCTCCAAGACCAGCTCTCGGCTGCACAGTGCCCTTCCCTGCCCCCAGAAATTCCCTCACGCGCCCGCCCCCCCGCAGGCCCGTGCCCGGGAGCCGGTGCTGGGACGAGCCCTCCGACGGGAGCTCTTCTCCTCCGGCGGCCGTGCCGCAGGCTCTCAGCTTCTCTCCGGAGAAGAGCGACTTCGCCCTCCCTACCAGCGTCGCCGCAGTGCAAGCACCGGACGAGGCACAGGCCCCTGCGGACATGGCCCCGGCCGAGGTAAACGGAACATAGGACTTCCCTGTCCTGGGATCAGCGGAACCTGCCTGGAGGCTGAGCAGCAACTCAGGCCTCGGCTGGCAGAGTCGCCCCCGCAGGAGAAAAAGGCCACCCCTCTGCCCTGTGACCCCAGAGGGCCAGGGCTCTCTCAGAGGACCGACAGGGAGGCAGGGTGGCAGCGGGGGTTGGTGGGCGCACTGTGCTGGGCACGGAAGCAGGCAGGCACTCGGGGCCGGGGCGCCTGGCTCTCCCTGGCAGGGCCCGTCCGTCCGCCCTTAGTCTTACAGACTGTCCGCGCCCGGGTCAGAGCAGGCCTGTGCTTCCCGAGATGACGGTCGGGAAGGAGGGGGACCGGCCCTGACCCTGGGGTCGCTTGCTGTCTAGGTTCTGCTGGTGGACATCCCGCTGGAGCGGCTGCGCATCGCCCCCGCCGCGCAGAGCTCCCCGCCCGCCGACGTGGCTCTCATTGACTTCCGCAGCCCCCCGGGGGCCGGTGGGCCCCTGATCGACCTCCTGGTGAACACTCCGGACGCGGGCAGGAGCGCCGCGGCCAAGCTGCCCCCCCACGTGGGACAGGTGAGGCGCCGCCGGAGGGCCGTGGGGCTCTGGCCTCAGGGGGTCTCGGCCCTAGATTTGTTCCTGGATCCCCAGACTCCACGGTGACCCTGGGGAGTGGCCTTCTGGCTCCTCAGGGCCCCAGGTCTCCAGGCACAGCTCACCTTTGGTGGCGAGAGCTCCAACTTCCGGCCCCACTGAGGAGCTTCAGGGACCCAGGAGCTCGCCGAGGGTCGGGGGATCACAATGCCATCCCCGGGTCCCTGGTGCCTCATGGGTGACGGGAGAGCGTAGCCGTGTGAGGGACCCAGAGCTTCCGTGGGTGGCGTTCTCCCGGCTTCTCAGAGGGCCCTCCAGATGTCAGCGTGCCCGAGCCCCAGCAGGGACGGACCCCGGCTGCCCAGGGTCCACTGGGGGGAGGGGAGAAGGGCCAGGGGGGCGGGGTGGGGTGCACTGCTCACCCCCCCTCCGCCGCCCTCTCCTGTAGCTGGTGGACCCGTGCGCCCCGCTGATCCAGCTGAGCCCCGAGGCCGACAAGGAAAACATGGACTCACCGCTGCTCAAGTTCTGAGCAGGACACGCGGGAGCCTGGCGTGTCACCCTCTGTCACAAGAACGGCCCATCCTCGGGCGGTCTGCGACCCTCAGAGATGAGTTTTAGGAGAGACTGTGTCGGAAACACCCAAGGGAAACCGCCGTGCTCGGTGCGGGGGTGGGGGGGGAGACTGCGGGAGTGGGGCGAGCCCGTGCCCGCCCAGCTGTTCCAGCCCCCCGCCGCTCCCTGCGCCGGGCGGGAGTCAGAAGCCCCCCCAGATGGGAGTTGCTTTGAATGTGTTTTTATGTAAAATAGCAAGTCACCATTTTAAAAACTAGGTTTATTGTATGAAAAGTTAAGTATTCTAGATTTAAGTTAAGTTGTAAATGAAAATATATTAAAGCGTATCTTGATTTTCACACACACGTAGCTATTTTTCTCACTCTGGTCAGCGGGCAGGGTCTGTGTGACCAGACTTCCGAACCGGGCTGGCTGTGGACGGCGACCTGGAGGACAGGGTGCTGAGGGAGGCGTCAGGCTGAAAAGGAGACACCGTGTGGCCTCACGCATGCCTGGGGTCTTAAAAGAACGCAGAGAACAGGCGGCCTGAGGTGGGCTGGGGGGGCTGGGAAGTGGGTGAAGGCGTCCAAGGCACGAACTTCCGTTACTTAAAAGACAAAGTCATGGGCACGTAATTACAAAGCAGTGTGAGTGGAAGCGGCCGTACCTGTAGCCCCAGGCCTGGGGTGGGCCAGGCAGTGGGCACGGTCACTGGGCACCCAGGTCAGGCGGCGGTGATGGCCACAGGCCTGCGGAGAGGCTCCTGGGGCGGGGGCGGGGTGAGGAGGGGGCTGGACGGAGAGGACGCTCCCCTGCCATCCCGAGGTGATGCCCAGCCGGGCGCCCAGCAGGGGCTCCCCGAGGCAGGGCCCAGGGCGCTGGGTGGGCGTGTCCCCTGCCCGCAGCCCTTCGGACGGGGTGTTTGTTCACTCTCGCTGGCCCGGGAGAGAACCTGTCCGAGAACCGCCCAGTTCCGAGAGGCACTTCCGCAGGCAGAAAGGCTGCTAACTGGGCGGATCCCTTCTGGGCTCCCGCCTGGCGTTCCCTGCAGGAGGCCCGGGACCCTGGGTCCCCAAGGGCTGGGAGGAGGGCGCTGGTTGATGTGAGTGAGTCACCACCGGCACCGTGGCTCTGTGGTCTGAAGAGCAGGAGGGTGACCTGCACTGCGTGGGTGGCCCTTGCTGCGCCTGGAGACGCAGCCTTACCTCAGAGACCCGGGGGTTTGCGTCCTTACCTGCAGCCGCCCGTAAACCAGCAGCCGGGCTCACAACAGGCCCCGCGCCGGGGGGACCCGCCCTGACAGCCGCTGCAGCGGAGAGCCTGCAGGCACCACACCAGCCCCCTTGCCCCTCGGTTCCGGCGGGCAGCCGGGATTCTAGAACTCGGTGCCACGGGGGTCCTCCGATGCCAGGCTGTCACTCAGTTCATAGGAGAAAAACTCTGAAACGAAGTCACTCAAATATTTGCGGACACGCTGTGGTGGGCAGGCTGCGTTTCTGCTGGGGATGTAGGGGGTATAGGGGTGCAGAGTTCATACCCCCGCCTGCTGGGGGATCACTGTTTGGTGGGAGAGAGGGGCCCAGCGGGGCTCTGGCCACCCGGTGTCCTGCCTACACGGGGGCGTTGGGCCGGGCTGCTGCCTCTCTCCACTCTGGGCTGCCCAGCTCTCCTGGGGGCCCAGGGGCTTCCTCTGTCTGACCTGCAGGTGTCCCCAGGCAGGACAGACATAATTGCATTCAGTTCCCTTCAAACAGGTGGGAGAAGGCCCTCAAGGGCCCAGGTGGGTACAGCGGCATTTCCCACCCAGAGCATGGCGTCCCTGCTCCGTCCAGCCTGGGCCTGGGCGCTGTGTGGCCGTCCTGCTGAGGCTGCTTGTCCCCCAAGCTCCTCTCCTGTGCCGGCTCCTGGTCCCTAACCCCCACTCCCACCCCCTCGCCCGGAGGAAGGAGCCACACCAGCGACGGGAGAGGAGTGCTTCCCCGGCTCTGTGAGGGGCAGGTGAGCGCCCTTGGCTGCCACTGGAGGGCCGCCCTCCGGGGTTAAGAGGTCCAACTTCACGTGATTTTTACGTTTCACCAATTTCCTAGCACAAATGTCTTCAGGTTTACGTCTCCAAAATCCACACATCTTACACCGCTGTAGACAGGGACACTGGGGCATCACTGTCCTTGCTGGCGTGGGTCCATGCACGGACCGGGCCTGTACATCGTGGTTCAAGACTCGCAGCTACAAAGTAGCTAAAATATCATTGAACTGAGAAGTAGCAGAAAACATGTTGCCAACGAACCGTGTTTCCTCCACTGTGGGTGGCTTGCTGCCTACCTAAACCCAAACCCTCTGCCTCTGTCGTGGGCAGCCTGCCCACGACAAACCCTCCACGACAAGCCCTGGACTCGCCCTAACCTTCTACCAAACTGCCGCTCCAGGAAGGACGTGGTCCTCCAGGCCAGGCCAGAAAACCCAGTGACAACAGTACGACCTCGGCCACAGACTCCGCTAAACGTCCACCCGTCCTTCTGCTGGAGCCTGGTCTAGATGCGGGTTTACCCCTCGCTCTGGGGAAACGCAGGATGAAACTGCCTCCCCTGCCGGACGTTTTCCTCATACCTCCCTTATTCTTCTGAAAAAGTCACTCCTGTGTTCCCCGCGGGGCCTGGCCACCCTCCTACCCTGGAGCTCACCCAGGCCTGCCCTCGGCACCAGTGGCCAGGACTGTCCAATTGTCATTTCTTCGAAATGGGGCCCCAAGGTCTGGCTAACTTCACTGCAGACCCTTAAAACTACTCCTGAAACCATCCAGCCTCAGTAGTTGTCCCCGTGTGAGCACTTATGTCCGCCGGGGCCCTTGCAGACTGATTTGCATGCCCAGCTTTGGTGCTGGCCTGTCGGGCCCCTTCCTCGCTGTGTTTTCCAAACCATGTTCAAATCCCACCTGAAACCAGGCCGTGGGCCGCACCAGCAGGTTTTAGAAAGGAAAGAGAATGAAGTGAGCAAACAGTATGATTGCAAGGGTGAGACCTGTTGTGAGGTGCCTTCTTTTTCACACGTACATGTGCAGGTGGCTGTGCATTCTATCAACTGTGCCACGGTGGGTCAAAGTCAAGAAAGTTGCTGGAGTGAACCATGCCCGTATTTTGCACACGCAGACCAGTGCTTCTAGTGCCAAACCAAAGCACACAGCCCCAGTCCCACAGCACTCGGGTCTGAGCTGTGTCACCGCCCCCATCCCACCCCTGGCACGCCTCGCTGACACCACCTCCCGCTGGTCCGCCGCCAGACCTGTGCCTGCGCTGCTCTGCGCGGGTCTCCCATCAGGCCGCTCGCTCCCTTGGCTTTCATTTGCACGCCCTCCTCCACGATCCCGAGCAGGCCCAGCAACTGCTTCCCAGCTCCACTGTTTCCATCGCCCAAATCTTCCCAGCTGGCTCCTGCCAGGTCCCCTTGGCACGCACGAGTCACCTTTCACTCAGGGACAGCCACATCTCCAGCAGATGGCCCCAAGTCACCTCGGACACTGGAGCTGACTGGGCAGGCACTTCCTCCCAGGCCACCGTCCCCCAGACAGAAACGGCAGGCCCCTCACCCTCTCTCTCCCCGCCACGTGCACCCTTGCAACAGCGAGGGCTATCAAGTTCACGTCCAAATCCCTGTCTGTGTTGCCGCCGGCCCTTCCCAGAGGGCTGCCTGTCACGGCCTCCTGTCCACAGAGCAGCCACAAAAACCTTCCTCACATTTCAATGTGGTCATTCGCTCCCGTACTTGAAACCTCACCCAGCCCCAGAGGCCCAGGGCCTTTGCTCAAGGTGAGCCCCCGCCTGTTCTTCCTTCCCAGAAGGACACCCCTCCCCAAGCCAGCGCACAGAATTTAGCAGACGTGCGCGCCCGGGAGCGGACATAGGTGTGGGCGGAGGAGAGGACTCGAGAAGAGAAGCCCAGGAATGGCGGGCTGGCGGAACGCGACCCGGTGCTCATGTTTCCGGCCGGGCCCCGTCCGCAGAGCGCTGCGACGGGGGCGGGACTTCCGGCGCGGCACGGAAGCAGGAGCTACAGGGGACGAAGTTGGCGGCGCGCGGATGCTGGCGGCGCGGCACGTCGTGTGCGCCCTCTCCGGCGGCGTGGACAGCGCCGTGGCCGCGCTGCTGCTGAGGCGGAGAGGTGAGGCGGCGCCGTCGTCTCAAGAGCCCCGCGCTCCTCATCCTCCGCCTGGCCGTCGGGGCGCGCGGCCCGGCCCCCGCTGTCCGGGAGCACTTAGGCAGCCCCCGCGGCTGCCGACGCAGCGGGCGACGAAGCGCCGACCTTCGGGACGCGCCGGCGCGTGGCTGCTGGACCCCAGGCGCGGCGCCGCGGGGATGGCGCGGCGTCGCACGTCACTCGAGAAGCTGCGCGCCGCCGCCGCCGCGTAGAAAAGTCCTTGTCCTGCCGACTCCGTGCGGCGGCATCCCCATGGGCTGCCTGCTCGCTGAATGTCGTCTGTCCCCGCCGTTCCGCGGCTGGCAGACTTTTCCTGGAAAGCACTAGCGTTCCGTGCAGACATCTCAGGAGCCGAGGTCCCTTCCCTCTAAGTGCTCCGTCCGCGGGGCCCTCTCCCCGGGAGGTTGCGTCCTCTGGGTGACCGTGGCGCAGCTTCTCCCACAAGCCTCCTTGGGCGCTGGGCTCACGGAATGCAGAGTGAAGCAGGGTGCCCGACGCGGGGCCGGTTCTCTGCGAGATACCGGCGACACCTGCCGCACAGAGTTACCGGGAACTGGAGGGGGGAAGTGACCTCGTACCTGCGAGGGGTGTCCGCAGTGTCCAGCACCGATTAGGTAGTCAGAGAACATGAGTGACCGGTAGTACATGTCACTAACAACTGTAGCTTTTTTTTTTAAAGATTTTATTTATTTTTAGAGGGGAAGGGAGGGAGATAGAAACATCAATGTGCGGTTGCTGGGGATTATAGCCTGCAACCCAGGCATGTATCCTGGCTGGGAATCGAACCTGGGACACTTTGGTTCCCAGCCCACTCTCAATCCACTGAGCTACGCCAGCCAGGGCCCACAACTGTAGCTTTTATGTGAGATGTGACGACCTAAAAATGCTAAATAGGATTATAGGCCAACGGCGTTTATAATCCCAAGAAAGCGGGGATGACAGCATCACAGAGGTTGTCGTGTTTGCGCTGAGACTGGACGGAAGAGTAGGGTTTGCAGAGCGAAGCGTTTCCCAGGCCAAGGCTGACATGGGCGCAGGCAGGGGGGCGCTGGTGGGCCTGGCCCGAGGCCGGCGGAGGAGCACGCCGAGCCCTGGTTATGGAGGATGTTGCTCGTGTTATATTGCTTTCGGAGAGAGAGAACCGCCGATGCGAGAGAAGCATCGATGGGT